CCTGTGGTACACCATAATATTTACCTCATTTCTAGTTGACTTTAAATTCAGAGATTCTTTCTTAGATATAATACAAATTTCACTACACCCTGTTGGCTCTAATTTATACAATGGTCCATTCTGCTTTAAACCCAAGCATGAGAGCAGGTGAATGGTTAACTATTGCCAGGAGAATGAAAATCATTCACTAATTGATATATTAGCCAGGTAGAGATTTGGCAGTAGAAAGTAAATTAAAGCTGAGGTTTCCCCCTTATTCATATTGATAAGGAAATAATCTCAACCAGTAGTCAGATAGGATGAAGCCTCTTAACATTGCCATGCATCACTATGCTATCAGTTGAATTAAGCTTTAGAAGGGAATGAGGTAAAGCACTACAAATCCAATAACTTAGGAGTCTTTTGACCTGAATCTATACCTGTGTTAACAAGGAAAAACCCATACAGTTGCATTTTGTTTTCTCTGCCTTCCTTTCAAGAATTTGTCTTTGTCATTCTCCGAACAGGCCCTTTACCTCCTCCTTAGCTGAGTCAGTTTCCAACCAGGTATCTGTCTCGCATCCTTAAATCATAATTCCTTTTTCCATTTCCCTCAGAGAATAAGAACCAGCAAGATTTCTTTCTCCCCTTTCTTACAGTCTGCTTCACATATTACACCGTCTGGTTTATATATTACATTGCTTAACCGTTGAGTAAGTCACAAATGACTTATTTGTGGCTTCACTAAGCCACAAACCATGCTTTACAAACCAGATTCATACACTGAAGTAAGCCGCAAACAAGCAACTCCCATTATAGCTTAATTCTATCTCTCTGGGTCTGTTTTTGTTACAGATTAAGACACTTCTGTGCAAGTATTGTGGGCCGCTTCAAAGGAGGTCTGGATTTCAATGTTCTTATTACCTTACTAGTGTTGTTGGTTGATTAATTTCTAGGTCAAGTGTAGTGCAGCTGAAAGTGCTCCAAAGGTAGGGTATTTTTGTTTTGTTGTTTTGTTTTGGGGAAACTGTAGATCCCTTTCAGCATTGGAAAAGATACTTTTAAAATCTCTCCTTCCAGTTCTGGAACTCCAGGCCTTTTCATATTTGAGGGCTATGTAATTCTCTCTTATAGCCAATAAAAGAAATAGGGATCACACTGAGATGTAGGTGTCAACATCCTGCTTTATTTCATCACTGGAAGAAGAAACCAAAATGCTAAGCTCTGAAGTTTTTTTTTTTTCCTCTTCCTTTCATATGGAGGTGGAAGTAAAGATTGGAAGATATGTTGCTGCAGATTTTGCTGGAGCTCAGTGAAGGCCTTTATCCTCTCTTCTCAGAAACATTTAAATCAGAAAAAAAAGAAAGATTGTCTTCAGACTGCTTCCAAGGTTTAAGAAATTCAAATAATAGCAGCATGGAAGTGTACTAAGTATAATTTTACCCTTCTGTTTAATTTGATTTATTCCATTTAGACATTGCCCAACTACAACTGACTTTGGCCAGTGTACAATAAAACTAACAAACATAAAAACAAAATGCAATAATTATAAGAGAATAAAAGAGTAAGTCACAAAAAAAATGGCAACCTCACCAACGCACAATCCAGAAGGGGCCCCAAGCACCCTAGCTTGGAAGAACATCTAGGTCAGGGGTTCTCAACCTTGGCAACTTTAAGCAAAGCTGGCTGAGGAATTCTGGGAGTTGAAGTCCACAAGTCTTAAAGTTGCCAAGGTTGAGAACCCCTGATCTAGGTGTTTAAGATTTTCCAGAATGTCAGCAGGGTGGGACCCACATGGTATCAGGGGAAATCTCATTACAGAGAGCAGATGCTGTGGGAGAGAAGGATGCTTCTAGGGTCTTACAGATAATATTCTTTAACTGAAAGGACCCCAAGCTTGTCAACTCTATTGGATTGATTCAATCCATTGAAGGTAGGTGCCTCAAGTAATTAGGATCTATGCCTTGTAGGGCTATACAGGTCACTGTATAACTAGCACCTTGAATCACAACCAGAATCACAAAAGGAACCAGTGCAGATTGCAAAACAGTATCACATGGGCATACTGATGCATGCCCAGCACTGCCAACCTGCTGCATTCTGGACTAGTTGAAGTTTTTGAGTGGTCTTCAAGGTCAGCCCTATGTAGAACACATTGCAATAACTGAGTGATAAGTGACTATCTGAAGGGCCTCCCAATTTAGGAAATGGTTCAACTGGTGGATCAGATGAAGTCACACAATGACTTCTTGGCCACAGTTCATCTAGGAGATATGAGTATCACAGATTGTCCATCATTCTTTAATGGAAAAGTATGACCCCCATCCAAGGTTAATCTTGATTGAGTCAAAGAGGGTTCCTCTCCATCCAAAGCTACATAGCCTTTAAGCACTAGGATAGAATCTCGAGATCAAGGTCAAAGGTTATATGCCACCTTGAGAACCCTAGTACCTCTTCCTTGGGTCCAAAATCAGATTTATTTATCCACCCTGTGAACTATACAAATGTTTGCTTCTGTCTAATCTTATTTTGTTCCTAGAGAATTCTAACAAGAAGGGTACTTTATATTTTGTCAGAATCACCAAATTTATATTCAATGTAACTGGACTGACACATTGGATGGACTTAACACTCTTTATATGTGACACACAGTCAATGAAGAATATTCTCAAGATAAAAATATGGTGACTTATACATGGTATTATTTATTTTATAAATACTAGAATAAAATTGTGAAATGTGTAGAGAAGATCCGCACAGAAACATGTCAGATAAATTCATGCTTATGTTAAACACATGCTGAAGTAATTAGCATTTCCAAATATTTATATATAATATTTATATAACATAATAATATTTAAATAATAAAAAACCACAGATATTTTTTAAAAGTGCTACTATATGCAAAGGACTACCCTATTGGTTGGTAAAGGTCTTTATCTTAATTACAATTGTAATTATACATTACTAATTGCATTAGTATATATATATACTAATATATATATATATTTAAACGTACTGTTTGTTAGGATCTAAAACCCGCCACAGTGATATCCACAGGACTTGTAAACACCTTATTTTAAATTCTTTACATCCTAAACTTGAGGTGGGCAATGGTTTTTGCAACCAAGAGCTACATTTTCCATTCATTAACTTTTCTTCCCAAGGGAAGTCTGGGGATTTAAACTGGGTTTGTTAAGCCTCATAGAGAGCTAACAGAAATATTTGGTGTGGCAGGTTTTTGGTTTGTTATTTTGCTAAGATCAGATTACACTAGTGAAAAATGGTGGGTTTGATGCTGAATTCCAGTGGTGTTATCTGAGAGAGCTTTGTGGGGAAGTACAAATGGGAATGAACCACAGATTATCTAGCTTTGTCTTCAATTTTACAATCTTTCAATCTTACAAAGCCCCTTACTGTATTTTGTTCCTTACTTGGTTTGGGATTGTTTCCAATGAAATGAAAGAAACAGATAGAATTATTATTAAATAAATTAGGTGCTGAGAACATTCTGAATAAATAGGCATAGAATTTGTGGGTTGGGGATCAAAAAAAATTTAATGATCAAAGGAAACCCAAGGTGAAACTAAAATAAGAAAGAATATGAAAATAATTCAACTCAGCCCATTACAAAAGGCTTGGGTGATATGGGTTGAATAAACCTACCGGTATTCTATATTGAAGATGTGGGGGCTTGGTTTTCATGTGTACTTATATTTTATCTACCCCTTTAGGTTTGTGGAATCAGTATCCTTAGAGTGAAAAGTGAATCACAGAATGGCAAACATATGAACAGTTTGTTCCAAAAGATTCATCAGAATTATGAAATTTAAAAGGTCAGGCAAAGCTAAAAGTATGGAATTCTTATGAAGAGAGGGTACAGAAAGAAGGTAAGGGAACACAAGAAGGTATTTTGACCATCTTCTCTGCCTCTATGAGGTAGTCGGAGCAATGGTTGAGAACAACCTCTTTTTGCATAGGAAGAAAGGATGAGAAATTATTGTAAAATATATTATTCCATGAAATATCTATGGGGACTTTGATGATTAAAAATACAATCCTATGGTCGATCATTCAGAAGTATACCCATTTGGCATAAAGGGGGCTTATCTCCAGGGAAGTGCATTGGAGATTGTATCCAAAAGCTCAAATTCTAGACAGATTTACAAGGGATTAAGTCCCATTAAATCCTATTATGTTCTCTTCCATGTCAACATGAGTAAGTAAGATTGCCCAGAGGGTGAGAAGGGACAGCATGGCAAATTCACATCATCTTTTTTCTGCTTGCTGTCTAGTAAATATTTCATGCAGCTTTATTTGTAATTTTGGATTAATGTACACCAAACTTTCTGAAAATTTATGTTGCAGTAGCATGCAGCAATTTTGATTTGAAGCTGCTCCTTTTACTACTAAAGATTAAACTGAACATTCCTCAGTCATGTTCCGTCCTATGCACTATTGGTAACATCATCCAAACTTTCATGTTCAACGGTTAATAAAGACCTTTTTGCATGTATAGTTTCACACATTTTTTTGATGCCCTGAAATTTTTCAAAACCTATGTGCCATGGATCAGGGCAGATCTGTGTTTTTTCTAAGTCTAAATACATCAAAATAGGTAATCCAATTTTGAAGGACTTATCTAATATAATTTGAGCGATAATCCAAAAGTATAAAAAGTAGGTGAGTGATTTCAAATTCAATATTTAGCTAATGACAAAATATTCATTACAGCTTTAGCCTTAAAATTGTAGACAGATGAATCAATTACCCCAAAAAAGAGGCACAGATAAATATATCCATAAAATTTGAAGTCAAAATCAAACTCCGGCTCAGCTCTGACATGCCTGTTTTATGAGAAAATGCACAAAACATATTGAACCATCTAACTATAATTCTGCCTAACAGCAACACAGTTGCCAGTTTGATAATTAATATTAACCCCCAGCTTAGTAAATAGAGTGACAAGAAAAGAATCAGAAATGTGCAAATAATAATAATAATAACAATAAATCCCTTACTTGCTGTTGCTCCATTAAAACTTGTTCCAGTACTAGAGAAATGAAAAACCTGTGGAAGTTTCCTGCTGTCCAGAATCCTCTTGAGTAAATGCTGTGTTTATTTATCAAGCCTTAAAAATTTCTGGTGTGGAGGACTGAGTGAGCTCTCAAGTTCATCATGAGCACAGTTGAAAGTCCTACTGTAACTGCAGACATAAAGTTTGCTGCCAGTTAGTTTTTCTGCGGCTCCGTACTTGTAAATACAAGCTCTGTGGACAAAGTCCCAAATGACATCACAAGCAGCTGCTTATTGTTGAGTCTTTATTAACTGGCTGTCAAAAAAAGAAAGAAGGAACCGCGAGGGGTGGGGAGGAACCACTGTCTATCTTGAAGTGCAAGCTGGGAGTGTAGTAAGAATTTTGCTTATACATATGTAAATACTTGTGATTATCTCAACTATGCTTTTCTTAGGAGGATGAAGCCAAGTTTCCGTAGGAATCCTATCCTTGCCAGACCCCAAAGCAGAGGAATAAAAAAGACATGCAGCCAAATAAATAGATGCTTAGTAAATTAAACGCTGCACTTTTTTTTAAAAAAAAAAAAAAGACCCTGCATGCTTTAAGCATGACTGTGCCTATAAATATTATATAGAAGCATTATGGACTTAGCACAAATTTATTTGCTAAATCAAAATTTGACAGAGTATGCTAGATCTTCCAGTAAAGGGGGAGGGTAAACAGTGTATATTGCACACAGTGTATATTGCAAAGATTTCAGCTCTTTCATTATACAAATATTTGTAAATAGTTTGTAGGATTAATAGTTTCTCTCTAAACAGCATTGTCCATGAGGTATTTTTTAGCAAATTAAATTGTAGCAAATATGTAAAAGAGGAGAAAAAAAATGTGGGTCTGTAATCCTTCATTCACGATGTAAATTGGAGTGGCGTTACTACTAGGTCTTTTTTTTTCTGAGTAAAAAGGGAGGAGAAACCTTTGGAAATGACAAAGCCAGCTATTCAGCTTGTGGTAGCTGATAAAACAAAAGAAAATATTGACCTTTCACTCCTCCTGGGTCTTCAGACTGGCTGGCTGTTTTTGTGTAAAACAAGGACAACATCTTCTAGTCTTCAAGAACTTAGTGTTTGCAGCCGTGCTCCACATTCTTGTCCCTAGGAATGTCTCCTCAAAGGAAGGCCTTAAGCTAAAGTCACACTAAATGTGCGCTTATTTCCCAGAAGCTGGCCTTTTCAAGTGAAGCCTTAGATCACTGAAAGAGAAACATGACAGAAGTGCTACTGTGTACACTAATATCTTTTCTGTGCTGAGAATGTAAACATGGGGAAGCTTCAGAGTAGGGAAAACTCAAGCAGGTTTATGAAGAAGAAAAAAAAAAAGATGATTCAACAAGCAAAGCGATGAAGAGGGCTTAAATAGGAGTTTAGATATTGGTATTTTGGGAGAACTGGTTTCAGAATTCTGACAGGGGTTCTGGTTGTTTCTCTGCAGGAGTTTCTCTCTCAAACCCCCAAGACCCCAACAGTTCAATTCTGAGCTACATATATTTTCTACTATTGAAATCCTGGTTTCCATACAGCTCCAAATTATACTTTCTAAGTTCAAACTATTCTTTAAGAAACAAGACGTTTTGCTTTGCAATAGATACACAAGAGAATTTCAGCCTCTAAGTCAGGGGTGTCCAATCTTGATAACTTTAAGATCTGTGGATTCTCCATGCTGCTGGGGAATTCTGGGACTTGAAGTCCACAAGTCTTAAGCCTTTATGTTCAGTCAAATATGATTTGTTGAAGCAACCCTGATACATCTGCAATATCTTCAGATTGTGTAAAAATATACCAGGTAACCAAGATGCATCCAATGACTTAGTATGCCTGATCATACTATGCATTGTTGTCCCATTCTCCCATACATTATTTATTTAAATATCAAATCTAGAAAATGCTCATCTCACTCACGGACTAGCAGTAGCATCTGTGGTAGCAGTTTTCTTTGGTTATTCGTAAATAGAATGGGATGACATTTGCAAGGAAATTAGATTTAGCAGGACATTAAACTCCTCAGAAATCAATGGAAGAATTTTCAAGTCATGCTTGAACATAAAATTTGATTTTAAAAATCATTGGCCATTTTAAGAAACAAGATAATATGGTCATATTGATGGCAGATCTCACCAAAGCTACTTAAGTTTGGTTTCAGGGAAACATGAAAGGAAATTCAAGAGGAATTATTCATCTTTGTGAAGGTGATGGAAGCTACTTTCAGAAAAATGAATTGTAGGGGGAAAAGTAAATTGTATTAATGTATCAAATTAGGGCTAGAGAAAGGTCAATTAATTTAAAAAATTTATAGGCCAGGGTTCAGCAGGCTAATGTAACTATACAAAACCACACCACAATAGTTTGGATTAAGAAACTGACTGTGCCTCATGTTGCAAATAGTCAAAATTAAACAACATTGGGGATGTATTCAGAAGAGTCCATTCAGTTTGGCCTTCTTCCATTCTTTCCCCTTAATAAAGCAAAATGCCTTGACATGTGAAAACAGCCAGGAGCAGCTATCAAAGCAGCTGCACTACCTGAAAAAAAAAAAGGCAGGGCTACTTTAATCATCCAGAGACATGTGCCTTATGTGTTCCTGTGCCCTTGTAAGCAATCTTCTACATATACATTAAAGATTTTTTCCAAATATACAAACTATTTGTAGTAAAGTAATATACTATATTTGAAACTCAAATACTTTGGCCACCTAATGAGAAGGAAGGACTCACCGGAGAAGAGCCTAATGCTGGAAAAGATTGAGGGCAATAGAAGAAGGGGACGACAGAGAAGGAGGTGGCTGGATGGAGTCACTGAAGCAGTAGGCGTGAATTTAAATGGACTCCAGAAGATGGTAGAAGACAGGAAGGCTTGAAGGAACATTGTCCATGGGGTCGCGATGGGTCAGACACAATTTCCCAACTAACAACAACAATATACTGTATATAATTTGTTTATTCTTTTTATAGCCCTGTAGCCCCTTTTTATCAGAGTGGAACTGGGACAACTGAACGAAGCTGAATGTTTTTTGCCTGATGCCTATGCAGAAGACATTTTCTCTTTGCACCCTGATAGAGAAACATCTGTCACTGCCTAGGATTGAACTCTCAACCTCCTGAGAGTGAGGCAAGCATCTTCACCTCTAGGCCATGTCGTTCAATAAACTCTATGTAAAGGACATATAAATGTCCTTGTATAATTCAATGTGTGGCTCACTGTGTGGCTAAGGATATATGTTTTGGTTCTTGGTAATGTTCATGAAACGTTTTCAAAATCAAATCTGCCATAAAAGTGATAAGTAATCCCAAAGGTATAAATAGATTTCAAATTATCCCACTACCTTGGCTCTCAATCCAGTCATCAGTTATGAACTCCGCTGAACTGAAACATTATTGCTCTGAGCAAATTCAGGCTCCTTTGATTGTAAAATAAACTAAAATAAGAGTTTTGATTCTTCTAATAAAAACTCATCTCTAATCGGTCAGTTGACCACAAATGTAAGGAGCTGATTTCTGATTGGATATGAAGGAAATGTGAGAACATCTTCACAAAATTTATTACAATGAACTTTTGTTTTGGGTTTATCCTGGTGCAAAATTTCACTTTACTCATCTCATGGCAGGTTGGCTTCGAAAGAAGAATATTTACTCTTCTGGAAAAGGAGGAAAGGTATCTATGATAAGGCAAACCAATAAAAGAGAAACAAGACAAAGCACATGTCTATAGCATGCATGTATTCCTGTCTAGCGGATCTATCTGAAATAGCCAAAATAAATAATTTTTTTTATCATGTGTCTAACTTACAAGTCCTAAGGATTAGGACCTAGGTAGTAGTAGAAACACAGAGGAGTATGGTCATTGTGAAATATTCCTCTCTGATAGATTACTATTATTTATTTACAAACCAATGGTTGCAAATTGTGTCCCAACTTATAGCATTCTAAGAAATGTGTATATCTCTGGGGGGAAAAAAGAATTTCAATCAAAACAGTTTAAGATCTTGTTAAAAAATGTTAGGCTCATCATGGCATTCTGGTGAGTCACCACAACCAGAACTACCTCAAGCATTTAACTTGAGAAAACTTTCCACTGCAGGAGATACATATCATTTAGCAGGCATCACAATCTATGGGGGGGGGAGCCTTTACACAATCATTTAAATTAGTGGTGTCCACTCTCATAATTGTGAGGACAAGAACTGAGGACTGTTAAGAGATGGAACGGATTTTGTGCAAGAAATTTTGGGCTTTGCCTTTTCACAAGATGTGTGTCTTAGAGCTTCTCCTACAGTTTTGAATACTTCTCGTGACAAAATATCAGGAAACTGTGCAGTCTGTTTTCAACAATCCTGGTCAGGAGGGCCTCTCGTGGCCACAAAAAGACTTGGGCAGTGTGCCTGTGCATGCATCACATTATAAACTCTTGTACATGATGAGAAGATATTTGCCCTGTATTGTGCGTATTGCATAGATCATTCTCTTTGGCTTGTTTTACATTCTGAGGCAATGTAGGGATGTTCATCAATATTCCCAAAAGCCAATGGATCAATAAACCATATACTGGCAGATTGTTCTATCTCCTCTGAGAGAAAAAGACACAACCATAACATCTGTCACCCCATTTCCTCCTCGTCTATAGAAGCTTTGTGCGATAGCCTCTAACAACAGAAGTCTTCTCCTGGTCGATTGGCATCAGCTGCTGCTACGACAACAACAAAAACTCCCATATTTTTCTTGAAAAGAGAATGGCAATAACTGAAAAAAGGGTTGAGTTAATGTCAAACAGCAGAAGATAGGATGGCTATATCAGTCCTCCTCATTAAGCGAATATGTGAAGATAAGGCTGCCAGCCCTTCGGCCTTTGTCTCCTGCCAGTTTGTAAAAGAAAGAAGAAGGTTGACATACTGTAGGTTCTTTCTTTGAGCTCTTATATTTTAAAATCCACAGACTAAACCTATCTATTTTGCATGAATGACTGGATAATACAGAGTTGTGACCAATGACTCTAAAGAACCCAAGCTAAGGCATTCAGGATGAGGCTGAAATTGTGTTGTTTTGTGTATCTATAAGGCAATAAATCAAAACTCAGAAGCCAGTTTGGTGTGGTAACCTAGAGCTAAGGCTGAGGCTGACCTAGAAACTAGGTGATTGTGAGTTCTAGTCCCACTTTAGGCATGAAAGCTGGCTGGATGACTTTGGCTAATACCTCTGTCTCAGCTCAACCCATCTCACAGGATTGTTGTTGTGGGGAAAATAGGAAGAGGAAGGGAAGGAGTATTAGGTATGTTCACCACCTTGAGTTACTTATAAAGTAATAAGGGTGGGATAAAAATCCAATACATAAATACATAAAAACAAATCAATAGAATGCAATAGAATGATTGCATGGG